GGCTTTGGGGGCGGCTGCTGCCAACCTGCGGGCTGGCCTCGCTCGGAGGTGATGGCTCGAGGGGCTGCCAGGCTGCTGAAGCCAGCGGGACCAAGGTAGTCATCCTGCGGGGGAGATTCCACCCTGCGAGGGAACGTCCGGCGGCAGGATCAGCATTGAGAAAACGGGCTTCGGCTGGGATATGGCGGGCGACCTTCACCGTAGGCTACCGACCTGTGGAGGGATTGAGAGGGGCCCGCACTCCTTCCCAGCCGGCTCTTCTAGGAGGAAATTGGAGGATCTTGGCGGCTGAAGGGCTGGGAGCAGAGGTGCCTGGATCTGACACGAGGGGGGGTGTCAGGCCTGGTCCCCACTCTGGCACTCCGCCTGCAGAAAGTGGGGGCTTGCAAGAGAGCTTCTAAAGCAGGGCTTCCCGGCCTATGGCTCGGGACCCAAATATGGGTCACCATGACATTTCAAAAGGGTCGCCAGGAGTCTCTCCAGGTGGCTCTGCCCCTCCTCCTGCCCCTGTTTTCGAATTGCGCTGGTCACCAAGTCTTCCTGAATCGTCAAAATGGGTCTGCATCTGGAAAAGGCTGGGAACTTGCCTCTCCCGGCGCTGGTTACAAAAACTCCCCTTCCCCCCCGAATCAGAGTACACAGTTTGGGGAATCGCTGTCACCATCAAGTGCTTTTTCGCTACAAACCAGGGGTGAGCCCTTGAAATCACCCCCCACGGGACCCCAAGCTCTTTTCCCCCAAAAGAGTTTGAAAAAGAAAAGAGAAAAAGCAGCTGCCGTCGCTGGTAGCTGACCCCTCGGTCAGAGACCTGCAGATACACAGCCAGCCCTCCCAGGACACAAGACCCAAATCCTCACCGTAAAAGAAGCTTTTTATTACAAAGCAAAAGATAAAGGTGATAAAGCAGCCTTGGTTGCTGGCTGTTACAGAGCAACCAAGGAAAAGGACTGAAAAAACCCAGAAAAGTCTCGGCACAATGCTGAGGGGGAGGGGAGACGTGGACGCACACAGAGCAGTGCAAATCAAACCACAAAATAAAGAACATTTAGCGTCAGTGCGCCTGGACTCTCAAGTCCCTGCAACTCTTCTCATTGTCTCTCCGAAGTCCTCGGAGGCACGGTAGCCCTGCCTGGGTTTAAGTCGTTCTGTCGCTCAGCTCCTGGTTTCTCTCTCCCACACAAAGGAAGCAGGCAGGGAACCGCCAGCCAATTCCAATTTCAACCCTCTCGCTCCCGTAGGCCGACACCTCTGCTAACGACCCGAGTTTAACCCCTTAGTGGCCGGGTGCTGGTCAGCGCTCCTCCTGTCCACGAGGGGGCGCTAGACCAGACTCCGTCCATGGGGCTCTACTGGCCCCCGCGCCACAGGACACTTTCCTTCTGCACCCCACCGGGAGCAACCGCAGCGTGGGGCCGGCGGCTGCATGGGGGTGGGGGGATGGCAGAGGCCATGGGCGGCAACCGCAGGGGAGTGGGGTCTAGATACATGGGTTGTATCCTCCACAAGCTCCTTCCCCCTCTCACTGCCTCAGTTTCCCCCTCTGGAGCTTGGGGCTACCAATGCTAGCCCAGCTTTGAGGTCTAGGGGCAGAAGGGCCCATTATGGCAACACACCCGCCCCTTGTTGTGGGGCGTCCTCTCCAGCTCCCCCTGCATGCGACCCCTTTGAATCCTCCACAAACCGCCCCACTGCATCACGGGGGGTTACTGCACACGCGGCCCCCGCACCCGGCCCACGGGGTGGGGACGTCTGGTCGCCATGGTGGCTGTGGAGCTGTCGAGGGCTCTGGCTCATCCTTCCCTCACCGAATCCGCCAGCGTTTGGCATTTCCACGCTGCCGAGCGGGTTCCCATCCAACGCCGGCGACGGGT